GAAAGCCGAAGGATTGTACTTTGCATAATTCCTGCATTCAATTGTCCTTGGTGGTAGTTTGCATGCATTAATTTTTCTCACTGCGATCAACATGTCGTGATCACTAAGGCTAGATGCAACAACATTAGTGAATGTTATATTTCCAGGAGAGTTGGAAGCAAACAAATCTAGCAGAGTGGAGCTTTCTTTGGCAGTTCTTGTGGCTTTGTCAATCAGCTGCGTTAGACCAAAGTTCCTGAAAATTTCCTTTAGTTCCCTAGTTTCCTTCGAACATGATTTCACTAAGAAATCACAATTAAAATCACCCGTCACAATAAAAACTGAAATAAATCAATTCCCCTGTCATTCAAGAGCAGAACTGATAGTGTCCCACAGGTCACCAGGCTCTAACAGAGGACAGCCATGACTCAACTGTACACATAAACCGTAAGAACGGTCAGAACCTGAGAAACATAACATTAAGGCAACCCACATGTTGCTTAGAACAATAATTAATTAATTGTGGTTATTTGGCATGATAAAGCCAAAGCATTTACTCGCAAAATGAACTAACAAAGATCCCTGAACATCATTGAGCTGTACAAACAGTATAAATAATGAGGTATTGTCATTTAAAATGTGGAACAGTAATACAGTGGTCACTTGGAATGACACTTATGCTTCAAGATCTGGCAAGTGCTGTCATTCGCAAAATGAGCCAAAATTAAGATCTCACAATATCACTGAACCATATTTATAAAGCATAAGAGTTTTGGATGGTACAATTTATGAAAGAAGAATCACTTGTCATTTAAATGTGGAACAATAATACGGTGGTCACTCAGAATGACACATAGGCTTCAAGATCTGGCATACGCCGTCACTCGCAAAATGAACCAAAATTAAGATCTCACAATATCACTGAACCATATGTATAAACCGTGAGAGTTTTGGATGGTACAATTTATGAAAGAAGAATCACATGTCATTTAAATGTGGAACAATAATACGGTGGTCACTCAGAATGACACATTGACACATAGGCTTCAAGATCTGGCATACGCTGTCACTCGCAAAATGAACCAAAATTAAGATCTCACAATATCACAGAACCATATGTATAAACCATGAGAGTTTTGGATGGTACAATTTATGAAAGAAGAATCAATAATATTGTCATTTAAATGTGGAACAATAATACGGTGGTCACTCAGAATGACACATAGGCTTCAAGATCTGGCAAGTGCCGTCACTCGCAAAATGAGCCAAAATTAAGATCTCACAATATCACTGAGCCATATGTATAAACCATAAGAGTTTTCGATGGTACAATTTATGAAAGAAGAATCACTTGTCATTTAAATGTGGAACAATAATACAGTGGTCACTCAGAATGACACATACTGTAGGCTCCAAGATCTGGCAAGTGCCGTCACTCGCAAAATGAACCAAAATTAAGATCTTACAGTATCACTGAGCCATATGTATAAACCATAAGAGTTTTGGATGGTACAATTTATGAAAGAAGAATCACTTGTCATTTAAATGTGGAACATTAATACAGTGGTCACTCAGAATGACACATACTGTAGGCTCCAAGATCTGGCAAGTGCCGTCACTCGCAAAATGAACCAAAATTAAGATCTTACAGTATCACTGAGCCATATGTATAAACCATAAGAGTTTTGGATGGTACAATTTATTAAATAAGAATCATTTGTCATTTAAATGTGGAACACTGGTCACTCAGAATGACACATATGCTTCAAGATCTGGCAAACTTATGCCGTCACTTGCAAAATGAACCAAATTAAGATTTCACAATATCACTGAACGATAATTATGTATAGATGTAAAACAAGACTGTAAAAATTTCAAAAGGAAAATCATTTGTCATTTGAAATGTAGTAGAATATTAAATAATAAATTATAGTGACCATTGCTTTGTCAAGTGCTGTCACCTGAAAAGTACAGTAACCTCAAAGATCCAACATATTAACTCAGCTGTACAACAAGCCAAATTACTGAATTATGGACATACTAAGGTCACATCAACGACTTATATTGGTGTAAAAGAAATGTTTGCCTGCACAGCTTAAGATCTGGCTACTTAAGATTATTCCATTAATGAAGACGATGCGCAACAAAGAGTACAGTTATTTCTGCAGTATAACAAAAAGGAATCAATCAATGGCATATCTGTGCATGCATCTTAAATTTTAAGATTTATCTTTGAGGTTTTAAGCTTACGCAAAGTAATTAGAAAACCAAAGTAAGTAAACGAACCACGATATCAAGAAGAACATACCTTTCTGCAATCCAGCTGAGTTGATGACTTGAAAACAGGCTTTATGTGAAGAATATCGCAACTGATCACAGTCTCTCGAAAATAACAAAGGTATAAATCGTAATAGAACAGCTGAATAGAAAGACAGGCTTTCTATTATCCGAAAATAACAAAACTACTCGTTTTGCAACGCTGTATTGCTTGAGAAGTCTGCGTGAATTTGAACTGTTCAACGAAAGTTTACTTTACACCATTCTATTGGTTCAAAAGCCGCACGTGACAATGTAAATCAAATCGCGCATGTGCCAAAGTCACGTGGAAGCCTGGGAAACAACAAACATGGCGGCTGATCTTGCGATCGAGTGCATTCAGGACTACATTCACCCGGACAATGAAACTCTGCAATCTACTATTGAAATGACTCCTGGGTTCAAACCTTTCACATAATGTGCATTTTGTTCACCCAAATTGTAAATGGTAACGTTTTACGTCAGGGCCTCCTATTCCGAGACTTCTTGTGATATTTTTTTTTCCGAGCCACCGACCCAATATCAGGAAACGCATTCGACGCTAAACGAAAAAAAAGGGGGATGGCCTTACCCGAAATAACCAGCTGCAGCAAGTAATATGATAAACTCTGAGAAGAATGTGATGGTGATTGAAACGGGGCAATGGAAAATCAAAACTTGCGTGAAATAACACTGTGAAGTTTGGTAAATGTGCAAACGTTGGTTAAAGTGGTCGTAAAGATAGTTCTTTGATCATATTTTGCTTAAATTTACGCCTCTAGTAACCATAAATTTACACATTAACTTTGCTATGCCAGAAAATATCAAGCAAACATTCATTTTTGACGTTCGATTTTTACACAGAGAACAAAATGTCGGCAAATTTGAATCTAAACACCAAATTTACTATGGGGAGCAAAAGTGAAACAAAATATCTGTAAACTTGATATTTACTCCACATTTACGCCACCCTTGCAGAAAAGTAAACTTTCACTTTCGAACAATATTTGCACCAAGAACAAATAAGTAGCAACATTAGTACCCTAAATTTACAATAGATTTGCTCAACTAGCAAACTTAGGCAAATCCGTTTTTTCGTCCAGTGCAACGTGTCCTTATCTTTAATTGTGAAAGGATTAATAAGATTATTTATCGCTTCCATGACGCAACACGTGTCTTGCTCACTCTTCAGTATCTGCGAAGATCTTACCTCCTTGTGCGAGGTAGACTCCAGAGTGTTGATATTCGTTATCTATTTGGTTGCTTGCAGATAGCTTGCTCTTGCATGTCTAGTGCGGCACCATCTGTATTCGGCAGAATGGTTCCGGCTGAAACCAACAATTCCGCTTTGAGATTTCGCATGACCGTTAATTGTTTGCTCAATGGTTATGTCAAAGGCATTTCTAGATGATGGAACATCTGATCTGTTAACACTAAAGCCATTATTCTTCAACAGATCCTCTGCTCCTGGATGCGTTTTTTCCAGGTTCAACATATTCAACAAGTAGAATGCAGAGTATCTTGCATAGTGTGGGTGATCGAAGCTGAAAAACAGGCTGCACATTCTTTGGAGGCTTGCTAGGTGAAGCGTCAGGCAATTCTCTTTAGTCGCTCGCTGGAACTGTAGAATCATGCCTACCTTTTCCATGTAGCTCAACCAAAACAGAGCTGTCTTGCCAAGCGCGCCCTGCCGAACAGTTTCTTTGAATTCATCATAACGGTCTATGGACTTGTTACAGCTTTCACCTGCTAAACATGCTAAGAGGTTATCTTTGCACGGGTTCTTCGCTAGATGGTCTAATGTTGTAACCCCTTGCTCATCAAAAAGGCAACCATGCAACGACTCGTAGACCTGACGAAGAATTCGTTCCAAAGCGTCGTAGACAACCTTGTGCACACGAAGAGCGCGGTTATATTGTTTGCCTGTCAAAACTTGCTCTATCGATCCACTTGCACAGATCCCTGATTCGATGAGGACTTCTTCCAAACCACTACATCTCATTTTCTTTCCGAGGGCACCCATGAATGCGCAGGTAAGATGAAAACTACCTTTATGCCCCATGCTTGTTCTCCCAATCATTAACTAATAGTTAGGCCAAGTACATTGCTGTGGCTGAGCTCTGTTTGCTGTAATGAGATGCACTACACAACACTAAAATATGCCATATTTTGGCCACCTGAGTGGCCGTTTATTCTTTAACAAGATTTTCAGAAAATACAAGGCAGAAACTAATTATCCAATTACAGCAAAGGTGAGGGCAAAAACCGCCAAAGCCCTGATCGAACGTGAGAGACAGGGCAGCCCCACCCGAAGCCACATAAATGTACTCGGCCCGTACCTGTAATATTATCGAGGAGATAAACTTTAACTAATTATAATAGTATACCAGAACACCCCTGTGGCCCTTGCACACTTCGCCGATGCAAACGTGGTAGAAGGTAAAAAAGTAACTTATACTTATCTAAACTATGTCAGCCACCTGGTCAATTGGCCCATGCACAATTGCTCAGTGCTGACTCTTAGAAAATTTTAGGCGTCTTACACAATGCACTGTACTTGAAATGCAGTGTAGAAAGGTTGGCCCCTGCACAACCCTTTCTCACCGCCTAAGCACTGGGTACAAAAATTTAGAGTTAGAACCCTGGCCTATGTTGTTGAAGGGAAGGCCCCTGCACAACCCTTCCAACCTATGGCTACAATGGGCACATGGCAACATATTTCACAGTCATGTGGACAGCGAAGGTATTCTGATATATCGTAAGAAAGCGTTAGAATTCCACCGGCCAAAACTTCTGATCTGGGCATCCGAGAAGCCCTTTGCTGCTGCCCATGAGGCTGCTCCGATTCTGAAACTATGAGACTTATATTTGGAGACATCAAGATTGCAAAAATTAAGAGCTGCAGTTAGTGCAGATGTGAAAAACGAACGAGAAATAGGGGAAGCGTCAGGCCAGCAAAAAAGAGGGCCAGGGAAATTGTCCCGAAGATTCAAATATGCTAGCAGCAATGAAGCAGGACAGACAGGGTGTTCTCTGTAAAGAAAAATATCTACGGGCTTTGAAGTATCGCTGTGCTTGTAATTTCTCAGGGTTAACTTAATAGTAGACATATTAAATTCTGCAAGCAGAATACTGCAATGCTGATCGTTCTACGTGAAAATTAACTCTGCAAGACATCAACACGACACCGAAAGAATTCAAAACAGAGCGGGATTGTAGCCATAGACAGCTGTTTCGCTCTCGTTGGGGCTCGTCAGTATGGCGTAACAACCAGAAAGCTCTGGTGCAAAATATCCGCGCACTCTGATTTAAGCTCTGACCTACAAGCCTCAACACCCACAGAATCACGCCATACCACGTGTCTTCTGGGGGGCAAGAGTCCAAGTGTCAAGTTGATGTCTCGCAGAGAAAATGAATAGTTGGCCAAAACCAACCTTAAACACATGGACAAAACCATGCAAGAATTACGGCATATCGAATCTATAAAAGATCTACGGCCCCAGAATACATAAAGTACAAACATTAACATTAACCACAAAGGACTGCAAAGGACCGCAAACGAATATGCTGGAAAACGTAGGATCTATAAAGACCTGATCAGCAAAAATGAAAAGTAGACATATTAAATTCTTCAAGCAGAATACTGCAATGCTGATCGTACAACTATTTATTTTCTCTGCGAGAAACAGCTGTCTATGTATGGCTACAATCCCGCTCTGTTTTGAGTTCTTTCGGTGTCGTGTTGATGTCTTGCAGAGTTAATTTTGACGTAGTACGATCAGCATTGCAGTATTCTGCTTGCAGAATTTAATATGTCTACTTTTCATTTTTGCTGATCAGGTCTTTATAGATCCTACGTTTTCCGGCATATTCGTTTGCGGTCCTTTGCAGTCCTTTGTGGTTAATGTTAATGTTTTAACTTCATAGCACTAATTGATCCCTCCCTAGTTTCCATGAATGTAATTTGATTCAAAAGGATTAAATTGCGCTGGGACTGATGAGCGCGGTATGTCAATTCCCCAACCCTCAATGCTGCAAAAAAGGCAAAGGCATACATTGCTTGAGTCATCTTTCTGTAATATAATGCAGACTGCGTGTGATCACTAGCCGCTATAACGTTCTCCAGTATTGGCAGTGAAATTGGTAAACGCACATCGAATGATGGGTTGAGCTTACTGTACCCCCTAAGCGCTATTTGTATCATGTCTGCCTTTGTTGGATCTGATAGGGAGGCTAAGCGATGCGGATAGCTCAAGGCCGAGATGTAAGTCAAGACAGTAGAGGCTGCATATTTCTGTTCCGCTAGAAAGGCAATGAAGAGTGCTAAAGTGTTTAGCGAGAGAGGAAAAACTGGGCCTTGATATCCCAACCTATCTTGCTGAAAATGGTATAAGAGCTGCCATGGGCGCTGGTATGTACGCACCGAAGACGAACTTAAACTTGCTTCTAACAATTGCTTTAACCTACTTCCCAATTCTCCGGAAGCAGATGCGCCGGAATCTGTGTTGGAGATGTTTGCATACCTGTACCCCTCGATGTGGTTTTGAATTTGCCCACCTGCAAACGAGACAAGCTGTCAGCCATTTCATTCTTAACTCCGGGAATATGACGCGCTTTGAATAAAATGTTATTTTGCAAACACACCAGTACTAATTTGCGCGAAAGACCCAACAACATTGCATCTTTGGTCGTTTGTTTGTTGATGACATGCACTAAGCTTTCGTTATAGGTCATGAAAAGAGCCCGTTTGTTTCGTAATTCCTGACACCACATACTAAGCCCAATTACAATAGGAAAGAATTCGAGAAAGCAAATGTTATATCTCTTCCATTTCTCCGGTCATGTGCCATATGCCCATTCATCACCGAAAAGTATACCGAAGCCACTGCTCTGAGCAGCATCTGTGTATAATCTTAAACTATGAGATGAAGACCAGTCTTCCTGTAGAAAAAGGGACCTACCATTAAAGGACTCCAAAAAGCATTCCCAGATTTGTAAATCCTTTTTGGTTTGTCGGGTGAGGCGAATTTAATGATGAGGCCGTTTAACACCGATTGTTAAATTAATCAGGCGACGTAGAAATGCTGTCCCTGGAACAACTACTAAACATGCAAAGTTAAGCAAGCCTATCAATGACTGTAACTCTCTCAGGGTAACTTTCTGTCTGCCTTTCATGTTGCCAATAGTCGCCCTTGCTTTGACTACTTTGTCCGCAGGAAGTCTGGCCTCAAATCTCTCACAATCTAGTTCTATTCCAGCGAATGTTAAAACTTCAAAAGGACCAACCGTTTTTTTCAGGAGCCATGGGAACCCCTATAGTATTGCAGAAGTCCAAAAACCTTTGAAGACTAGCACTGCAGGCTGCACGAGATTTTTCAACGATAAGAAAATCATCCAAGATATGGATTATGTTTGGAATCTTCAGTTTTGTTTGTGCTACCCATTCCATTGCTGTGCTAAGGCTTTCAAAGGTTTTGCATGAACTTGCACACCCCATAGGTAAACAACAATCTACATAATATTTCCCTTTCCAGTATAACCCCAACAAATGATAATCCGCAGGGTGTACAGGAATTATCCGAAAAGCACTTGTAACATCAGTCTTAGCCATAGCACATCCTTTACCTAAACGCCTAATAATTTGAACTGCATTATCAACTGTGGCATAATTAACCGAACAAAACTCTTGAGGGATAAAATCATTCACTGAACCCCTTTGTGGAAATGACAGATGATGAATCATCCTGAATTCGCCTGGTTGTTTCTTGGGGATAACCCCTAGAGGAGAAACTCTCAGGTTGTCTAAGGGAGGCTGATCAAAAGGCCCTATTATTCTTCCTGCGTGCATTTCCTTAGCTAATTTATTGTCCACTATTTCTGGGTTGTTTATTGCTGAAACTGAGTTGCCTGAAAAATGACCAGTAACAGGCCCTTGAAAATGTAACTGAAAACCTTCCGTAAAGCCTTTTTGCATGCTGTCGTTCAAATGGGTAGGGTAACCTCGCAAGAAAGACAATACGCTATTGACTTCGACTGGTGTTGGAAGTGCTCCTGGGGTGGGGAATGCTGAACTTTGTTGGGTTTGGCCCCGCTGTAGATTTTGAGGGTTGCCTGCACTTGGTAATAGTGTGCTGTTGTCCACAGCGAAAACATTGGTGCAGGTAGGAACATCCGTTGCACGAGATACCCTTGTGGAATTTCCAGCAATAGCCCCGGGGTACAAACGGGGAAGTTGCCCTAGGCTTTCCTGTGGTTGTTGTCTTGGCCCGAAAGTAATGGGCACGTAGCCATAATTCGGAATGAATCTGATCCCAGGGGGCACCTTGGTTTTCCCGCAACCTTCTAAAATGTTCATCATAAAAGTGCCAATTGGCCCCCCGGGTTGCTAACTCCTTGACCACTGATGCATATTTCATCAGGGCTGGCGTATCATGAGGTGCCTTTTCCGAATATGTGGCTACAAAGACTTGGAATGCTGATTGCCACTGGTCAATGGTTTGCGGTGACTGTTTCTTTTGGTTGGGGGCAATTACTATGGAGGGTTGTCCCCCATTGCTTCTTTCTATCTTAAACACAAACTCGTCTTCTGCTTTACTCACAGTGTTATTTAGCAGGACAGTGAAATCTACATATTCGTTTGCCCATATTTGGGCTTTGACTTTTTGGGGCACTCTTTGCCCCAGTGGTATCGCAGCGGACAAGAAAGAGTGCTTACTTGTACGGGGTGTGTCCGTGGGCGGCACTGTCCCTGTCAACTGCTGATCTGCCTCCTCTACTGATCTGGTGACCGTGGAATGTGTATTTTCTTCAACTTGGCTCCGAGACACTGACCGGGAGATTTCCAGCCCTGAACTTAAAGCAGGGGCAGGGGCTGGCACGGGGTCTGGGACAAACTGTATTTGGGGTTCTGATGAAGAGCTGCTGGTAGGCACAGAGCCAATGTCCTGTAGGGCCTTGACTACTGCAGTGGCAATAGTGGTACTCAGTGAAGCTAAGTGGTCTTGAGACAATGCTGATAGATTGGTTATTGCTGCTGATGGCTGTAGCCTGGTTGGATGAATAGGCTGGGTACCTGATGGACCAGGAACTGCTAGGCCAGGTACTGCTTGTGCTTCTGAACCAGGCGGAGTAGCTCGGTTTTCCACTTTTCGTCTCTTTGGTGGCATGATTGGGTCAGACTGAAAAAGTAGAAAAAAATTAACAAATCTTGCTTGGACTTAAGACCTAGCAAGAAACACAAGTCTTGGATAGTCCCCAATCATTGAGCACCCCCGATAGAAGTCATAGTGGGTGGCTCAAACAGTTAGCACCAGAACTGACAAAGGTGGCTCAAAAGTCAAAAGAAGTAATGCAACACACGGTGGCTTGAACAGTTAGCACCACACAAAACACGGTGGCTTGAACAGTTAGCACCACACAAAACAGGGTGGCTAAAACAGTTAACACCCATGAACGAATGACATGGTGACTTGAACAGTTAGCACCAAAATAAACGAATGACATGGTGACTTGAACATTTAGCACCAAAAACGGGGGGCGGGAAGGTGGCTGAAACAGTTAACACCCCCGAAATACAACTTATACAGCCCTAAACTCGGGTTTAGCGGATATCCAAACTCTCCCTCGGCGACACGCGTATCGAGAGCAATCTGCGTCGCCCTTTAGATTGGCTACACTGCTAAAACCCTTGAAAAATTCATAGTAATACTAATCACCATAACCACAACGCTAGCAATAATAACTAGAAACACGGATGTCATCGCCGCTAAAAGGCGGCAAAGTGCTCGGCGCAAATTCGTGCTGCTACCCATAAAGCGCGAACAGCTCTACTGTTGCGTTTAGCATTAAAGAAAATATTTGGGGGCGGTGCCGAAAGGGAATCGTAACCAGAACTTACTTCGTCCCTTGCCGTTTGATAACGAAACAACATCGAAAATGCGCCTTAGAACACTTAAAGTCCCTTTTCAATGTCTATACGGCATAGATTTGGCCATAGGAAGGGTTCTGCGACTGCATAAACTTTGCCTTCGCACCTCTACATTCAACGCACGTGGTCATGTGCGACTCGGATCATACCGAAGTCGACGCCAAAGCACAAAAAACCATCAACATTTCAACATACTTAACTTGTATAGCGGAAAAATAACCGTTCTTGAGAAGATCTATCGTCCCGTTGCGGCCGGTTAGGGTAATACTGCCCGACGATCTTCCAAAATGACCGGCGAGCGGTGAGAAAAAACCTTTGCACACGGCGGTGTGAAGACAAAGTGGCTTGTAACCTGGCCTGCTTCAACTTATATATCACCCTGAACATCACGTTCCGGAAGTAACCACTATTCACATGATCTAAACTTAAACTCTGCCCAGGATAACTAAGCTGGACGCATAAAAACATTTACTCCCTCTCCGGGAGTAAATCTCCTATACGTACAATTACATCACTGAATTCTTCTGGACTCTGCCACACAAGAGAATAGGCTTTCTTGGCAACAGCGAGATCGAACGTTACCACTGTGTATTGCTGATGTACTTCCCGTGATGCCTGTTGTGATAGCTTTAAGATATGCCCTACGGTCGCATTTTTGGTGACGGGTGCAAAGACTGGAGCCATATAGTCAATCGCAGATTGCTGTACAGATGAATTCTTGCTTGTTTCTGTCAAGGACACCCACCCTGCCCATGGAGGGACAACCTGAGCAGCGTGACGCAGGACCCCCGAACGACACAAAAACCACAGAGTGTCAGATGATTGAGCCCTGGTTTCATCCAGAGTGCAAGCTGCTTCTGTCTTAGAGACTGTTATATTTGGCTCGACCTTGTTTTTTGCATAGCAGGGCTCAATGTTTGGTGAAGTGCATTTCGCAGATCAGCTCTTTGTTCTAGCCTGATCAAATTCTTCTGGGGATTCTGAAATGTTTTCTTTGGTAGTTGAAACTTCCTGGATGATAATGCCATGAGCAGTATGAGTTGTACCTGCACCTGATGGTGTTTCTTCCGTCAAGTCGAAGTTGTCCCAGCACAGGTGGGTAACGAAGTTTCTGTTTGGTCTGATTGTCGATGGGATAACACCTTGTCTCTCATCTATAGCTTTGCACATAGCTGTTTCTAGCTCTATAACTCGTGAGTAAGAAGCACAATGACCAAATCGATTAACCAGTGTTATGACTTCAGCACTGCCAGTCAAGCGTCGCAATGTCATTCCAAGAAGTAGATGCTTCGGCAGCGTCCACTTCCCATTCGTAACAGCTTTGCAGATGTCTTGGGCAAAAGAAGTCACCAATCTTTGCCTATTTTCAGAACTATCACTCTTCACAGAAAGCAAGCACTCTAGAAATTCCTCAAGGCATGAAGGTCGCCGTACATTATCACTTACGAGGAAGTCTGCTGATGGGGGCCATGGCATTTCCTGAGCCTCAGCGTACGCAACCTGAATGGCCCTTCGTAAAATACATGCCGCCTCTTGAAGTCTCTTGGTTTCAGAGGCTGCTGCTTCAAACGCAACTTCAATCGCCTCGCCTTTGGTAATATCTGATGCATACACCAGCTCACATTTGTAATTTGGTTGCCAGAACTGAATTGAGCTTCCAAATCGCTTCACTAATTTTGATTTAAGTTTATCAGTTTTGTAATCAGGATTATAGCAGTCAGGGTTATTATGCAAAATGGAGGTAAGATGCCGTTCTCGAAGCATCGACATTCTCTCCACGTTCCCCCCTGAGATAATTGATGCGTTTACATGTTCACATAAATTCTTAAATGCAGCCTTGTGAGCA